GAGGGACATAATGGACTAGGCCTTGAATTAGGCCCCTTTAATCAGGTATTGATGAAAACACACACAATACGCTTCATCTATTGAGCAAAGCGGGTTGAGCGTTAAAGGCCATGCTCACAATAAACCGACTCATGAGAGTTTCTAGGGGTTAGCCCAGCCCCCCCTAACCGCGGCCATCACGGTTCCTCTCACGTAGGTAAGTCCTCAAAGGGTACTACAGCTGTTTATTTAATACCCCCCACAATACACGCGTTGGACTTATTAAGAGTAAAACTCAGCCTAGCCAGCTGTATCATAAGAGCATCGTCATCATAGAGAAGGGGTAGTAGCAAATGCTACATAATGATATATAAATATATCTAGGTCGATGCTCCACACGAGTGTCACTAGTCCAGCTTGTTTCTACCACATTGAACCGACATTGGGACTACGTCTCCAAATAAGGGTTGGGTTGCCGCTGTCAGTGACCTCATCTATGGGCTTAACCCCATCTCCCTCGATGAATCCAGAACCACACTCCTGGATAATCCCTTAGTCAAAGGGTCATCAAGATTCTTTTCACAGACTTTACAAAGTCTAGAATCATAACTTTGCCTAGCAGGCGTTGTATTTATTTATCAAGTTCTTATTTTGTAATTAGTCCATCATATTGTTTGAAATTGACATTAGGTCATGATCTATGATCATAAAAGATCATAGTCTATGTCTGAAGAGATTGACCTTAATATCTGAACATTTCAAACTAATGTGGAACTAAAAATTCAGCAGTTATGCATATGCACATACATGAATGAAATTAATAATAGATACATGCAGAGCATAATAGGCTTTCGTACCTTAAAATATATTTTCGTATCTTAAAATATATTTCATACTTCATAATTCAAATGCATAAATTTTTTTAAATTATTCTATTATAAGAGGTTACAAATTGGTTGCCTACAAAGGAGACCGTCCAAATTTAAATCGGTTACCTACAAATAAGACCTTCCAAATTTAAATCGGTTGCCTACAAATGAGACATTCCAAATTTAAATTGGTTGTCTACAAATGAGACCTTCCAAATTTATATTGGTTGTCTACAAAGGAGACCTTCCAAATTTAAACTGCTATTTTCTAGTACCACCTCTTATACAAATAATAATAATAATAATATTTGTACATACGTGTTTTAAATTTTTCAAGTGTATTCTTGCATAAAACCTTGTAATTAATCATAAAACAAATGCAAGTTATCTAAAAAGACATATGAACATTTATTGCAATAAAAGTGATGAACTTTACATTTGAAGATTTGAAATATAATCCATCATATAAAATAGAATTTTAAAAGATGCACCTCTTTCATTTGGTTCGCTCATATATTGATCATTTATCATTAGGCAATATATGATGCAAGAAGCGTAATTAAATAAATGCATATGAATTTTCACATAATTCCGGTCCTCTTATTCCAAACCAAAAACTCCTAAAGTAAAAAGATTAAAGTTTTACTCGGGTAGTTAGCCAGGTAAGGATAGTAATAGAGGTTGATCAAAGATCAATTAAATACCTCGTTCCTTGCAGAGCACGTTACGCAACCCTTAAACATTGCCTTAGACACCAACTAATCCAAAAAAACTTGAATCGGTTCACTCAATGAGTTTTGTTCCTTAACAGTATATAGAAACTTTAAATTATTTTCTGCAAGCATTTAATTTGCCTAGCAACTATACTGCAAACATATGTTGGATAAGGCCGAAGAGGGGTTTACCTATTGATGTTCGAACCTCATGATTTTCATGTCTTGAGAGTAAAAACTCATCTGCTGCAGACAACTGCCACTTAAGTTGCTGAACAAATCTGCATTCACTTTTACCACCTTCTGTACTAAGCTTATTAGATGCATAAACACTCTAAAGTATTAAATTATTAATAGAAGGCACCATATTGATAGATTAAAGAAATGAAGGCATTAAACCATGAAAAAAAATTAAATACTTCAAAGTATATATATATATCCAGATTTTGTTTACTTTATTCTTGTCAAAACCATGCATATGAAATTTTTAAGAATAAAAATGTACACTGCTGCAAATTTATAGCATGTTTCAAATACGTGCATATTAACTAGCACAAGGGGATAAGAGTAGGTTTTAGATGATTCTAACAAATATAAACTAGGCTTTTAGAAACCAATAAAGGTTCTTTGATATTCGTAACTTGCAATCTGATACTTGCTCTAACTTTACAAGTTTTTTCAGCATTATGAACCAAAAATGTTTAAATGAACAGTAACATTTTTTAATAAAATGAACAGTACCGTTTTTAATAAATGAACATTAAAAGTTATTATTTTTGAAATGAACAGTAACAGTTACATTTTTTTTCAAATTTTATAACATCAAATTAATAATACTAATAGATAAACAAATATATAATTAAAGCAATTATATTTTCTTTGTGTTAACAACAACTATAAAATTCCCTCTGTTTTTTTTATTTTAACAAAAAGTTAATTAATAGATAAGCAATTTAGTAGCAAATTTCTTTTTTGTTTTTTAAATTCGGATGAACAGTAACCATCACGAATGAACAGTAACTTTGAAATAATTTCAGATTTAAATCAAAGCTATAAACTTCTCAATCTTCTAGATTGTTGGGAATTTATCAAATAATTAAGATTATAGCATGCAGATAAATCCGAAAAATTAAACAATTAAAACTGGCCTGAACGGGAGCAGTCGTGTATTCACTGTCCTAGAAGATTGAGAACCCGCCTATCGCCCTGGCGCAGATGGTTCCCTCCCCCTAGCGGTAAAAATCTCCGGAAACGGCCGTCCTCCACACTCGGGCGAGAGTGCAGAGCTTCAGCTCAGATGAAGGAAGTTGCCCATAAAATAAAACTAAAATGTAATGAAAATAATATATGTAGGGGAGAGAAGAGAAAACAAGAGAGACTTCTTGTTATTTTTCTTATCGTTTTAAGCTCAACACACGGATATATATATATAGGGTTGGAAAAGACGTTACAAAACCCGTAATTAATTCTGTAACGTTCGTCATAAATTTTGTAACGTTCCCCATAATTATATATCCGTTACACATATTTTAATTGCATGTTTTAATTACAATATTTATTATAATTCATGAAGGCAAAATTGTCTTTTGTTAACAAAATATCTAACAGGATACACCGATGCAGATTGGGCAGGAGATGTGACGAACAGGAGGTCAACCTCAGGCTATTTTACGTTTGTATGTGGCTAGATCAAGTGCAGAATCTGAGTTTCGGGGTATGACTCATGGAGTATGTGAACTATTATGGATACGGAATATATTGAAGGATCTTGGATTTAAACTCGTGAAAGCTCATGGAGTATGTGAACTATTATGGATACGGAATATATTGAAGGATCTTGGATTTAAACTCGTGAAAGCAATGGATCTTCACTGTGACAATAAAGCAGCGATTATGATTGCACACAATCCAATTCAACTTGATCGTATGAAACATGTTGAAGTGGATCGGTTCTTTATCAGAGAAAATATTGACAAAGGGTGCATATGTTTTCCATTCGTGAAGTCGGAAGATCAACTTGCAGATATTCTTACAAAAGGAGTTTGTGGATGAATATTTAACGAAGTGATTGACAAGCTGGGCATGATTGACATCTATGCTCCATCTTGAGGGGGAGTGTTGAATATAGAATATACTTAATATAGGAAATATTAAATATGGGGTACTCTAAATATAGGATATAATAAACGCTCATTAATGTTTATTCCATATATGTAATTTTTTTACTTAGCATCCAAGTAATTGTAATTATATAAGGTGAAGGTCTTCTTCTATTGAAAGGAATTCGAATCATAATAAAAAAATAAGTCCTTCTCAAATCTCTTATTCTTTGTATTAATTTCTACACACTTTTATATGTACTAAAATTGGATACAATACCATATAGAATTCTTAGCCTGAATAGAGTACAAAGCAGACCAAATTAGAAAAACATCAGTTTGAACCGGTCTAAGTCACCGGTCCGACCGACCAATTTGACCGGAGGGTATACCGGCAAAGATTTTTACCGGTCGGACCGGTCGGTGCTGCCGCCCGCCGTCACCGTTTCGTCACGTTTCGCTTTCTGCTTTGTTTCCGACTCTTTTCGATGTCTTGAAAGCTGAAATACAAGGTTATTTTTCACCATTTTCTCATTCACTCCCTCTATTTCTCATTCTGTCTCTCCTCTATTAGGGGGAACACGTAACTAATAAGAGTATTAGTGTAATTTAACTAAGATCAGCAGGCTTGATTTGGTGGGGTGTACCCTGCAATGCCTAAGAGTTAATCATACTACGGTAAAACATTTGGACATAATCCATCCATACACGCAGTGGCGGATCTACAACATTTTTGGTGGTGGTTCAAAATATACACTAAATTTTTTTCTCAAATAATAGCAGGTGGGAAAAAAAATGAAGGAAGGGTTATTAAAGAGAAAAACAATCATTTTTAAACAATGATTTGACTTATATATATAAGAAACAAAAATGTTTATAGAAGGCCTTAAAGAGGTAGACAGAACAAAGGGATAAAATGAAAGGAAAAGAAGAAGAAGAAGAAGAAGAAGAAGAATAGAGGGGAGGTAAAAGGAAAGAAGCCTAAAAGAGAAATTTTCAAAGGCTGCATGGTTTGAACTCCAGACCTCTTACAAAATGTTACCAACTGCAATACCACTAGGCTATAGAGAACTTTTGTATAAGGTGGTTCAAGTGAACCACTTTGAACAAGGGTGGGTCCGCCACTGCATTTTCAAATAACTTAAGAGTCGGATCTAATTTCGAAATATGGAGATTCGAGGGTACGTATACAATTAAAGAAAATTTAGGTGTACATCGGCAGAAACCCGTTATATAATTTTGAGTTAGATAGCAACCAGAAAACATTACTAAGATTGAGCAACTATAGTTCAAAGACAGCATGACGCGCGGGGAAAAAACAACTAAAAGTAGCAAAAGTGGGAGCACTAAAAACACGACGAAGGGTACACGTCGCTACCGCAGGGAATATTTCAGAGATTTTTACAATAGAGACATAAATCCCACTACTTTCATAGCAAAGCATAAACTTTTTTTTTTTTAAATCTATTTGTAGGAGATACACCAAATAGCTTTGGAGTTGGGTACGTTCAGCTCCCAATTTCTGCAATGCTGTGCAAAGCTGGCCTCCACTGGCCTGAGCGTGACGCCGCCCCACTTCTCCTGCTGCAATTCTCCACCGCCGGCTCCATCTGCTCCTCGACTACCTGTCATTTTTTTTTTCAACCCCCCAAAAAAACGTGATACATCTCTGCTAGACAACGCAGTCATTAAATTTTATATATTAACCAGTTTAAGTTGTAGACAGAGTCCATGTACTGTCGATGTTTTGAACTTACTACCCTCTTAGTCATATTATATTTTTACGGATAGACCCAATTTCTCAGCGGACGGACAACATTTTGTAGATGATTTGCAGATGATAATAACAACTTCAGTGATCTAGAGGGGCTACTCTTAAAATATGAAAGAATTGAGGGAGTTATATCTAAGGGAGGCACTAGAGGCACATCCTTGGGCACACTCTCAGCCACACCCACTCACCTGCTACAGTATAGAGGGCCCCACATGAGATTTTTTTTAAAAATCTCATGTGAGGCCCTCTGCACTGTAGCAGGTGAGAGGGTATGGCTGAGAGTGTGCCCAATGGTGTGCTTCTAGTGTTTTTCTATATTTAAATAGCCCAAACGAGAAAGATAAACCAATCAAATACCCGTGGCAACTTTTAATTGAAGAACTTCAAGAAATTGATGGACCGTGCACAGCAGCATGCTACAATACTACTGTGAATCTGTGATGGATTGATGGGAGCTTGAGAAAAAATTGATTTATAACCAGATTCTATATTAATTGCGTACGAGTCGAAAGGAGATGAGGGAGGAGAGGGGTGATCGGACCGGAGCAGCAGTCTAATTTGGTAAAGAGTGTACTTGAAATAAGAAGAGAGAGGTGATTGGACCCAGCACAGACTCGTCGGCGTAACTTTTGTCTCTTATCTTTATGCTCACGCTTCCGTTCCCTCCACGTTATTTAAGAGGTGTTTGTTTCATTTTTTTGATTCAAAAAATAAAGTTTGAAATATTGAACACCCAAATAATAAAAAAACAAATATATTATAGCATTTGTGAGATCTACTTTTTGAGAGAGGATTTAGGCTAGATTTCAAATTCTAAAATTTGTAATGCTACAATTTGAGTTTGAAACAAACAAAATACAAATTATAGGATTACATATCCTAAAATATTGATGAAACAAAAAACATTTTAGAAATCTCAATCTATGTTAAAAACCCTATGAATTTTAAATCCCATGGTGAAATTCATATCCTAAAATTATAGGATTTGAAACAAACACCCCCTAATACTACAGTGCGCACGCATGCATGCAGTACGGAGTTAATAAATCCCATACCGAAAACATCTCCTTCCCTTTATTCCATTTTTAATTAAAAAGGATTTACTCAGTTTTGATTTGGGATAAAGTACTTAAAAACCAAAGGTCACATTGACATTTAGCGGGATTTAAGGGAGAAGGGTTAATCTTGGGATTAAACGAGGCAACGCGTTGGTATTATTTTTAAAAAAATGGAGTATCTCTTAATCTGTCTAAAAATAGATGGTAAACCACTCACTTGAGGGGGCTTTATTTCATGTGACCTTTTCGTGTTGTACCAGTTATAACGGTAAACCTTCTCCTAATCACTTAATCTGTCCATAAACAACAAGTAGAACTAAAATATTCATTTTAAGTTTTAAAGACGACAAATACTGTAGGAGTACTTAATCCCTAAGGAAGGGGGACATTTGGGCTAGATTCGTGTAAAACAAATCCCATAACGAATATGTTTATTTATCGGATCAAGAATCTGGATCTATGTCCAACCGATCTAACAATCAAATTATACATACCAATAACCTAAATTATAAAAATTAGTATTTTTTAACATCTCTTTACTAGTTTGGTATTATTTGTTGTTTCAATGAACTTTTTGGTATTAGAACTCCACATAATCTACAGTTAGGTATTAATTTTTGCCACGGATGAAAATCTCTTAATCTATAAAAAATGGATGGTAAACCACTAGCTTTGTGGAGTTTACTCGTTCTGACCTCTCTAGGGATTTAATTTGGATCTCCTCCACTATAAAAAAATAACAGAGGGACCAATACTTTTAATTCTAAACATTGATTATTGAATGAGTGATTGTGATACATTCTAAATTTAACACTCACCATGTCTTAGTGTGTTCCACTCATTCTAAATTTGTATTCAAAAGGGAAAAAAAATTCATAATCGCTCACTAGATAATTAATAGTTATGATCAAGTTGTGATTTCTCCACTATTTTTTTGGTAGGGAAGAGAATCAGAATCCCTAGGTATTATCTTTAACCTTTGGTGAGTTTTGTGTTTAACAAACGAATATTGTTTTGCTCACTTTATTTCAGGTGATCTTTAGTGTTGTACAAGTTATAATAGGTAAACCTTCATCTAATCACTTAATCTGTCACTAAACAACACCTAAAATTAAAATACTTATTTTTAATTTTATAGATGATAAACACTATAGGAGCACTTAATCTGAAGGATTAATGTACTTAGTTCATTCGATAATCTGTAGGATAAAATTATTAACCCGTTAAATAAGTTTTATTTTAGCCCTTGTGATCTGTTTTAATATTTGGGAATAACAATGATTTTGACTATTTTCTTTATAATTAGAAGGGTTAACTCTTAATCATTCTAAATAGAAGTATTAGTAAACCCCTCATTTTGAGGGGTTAACTAATTTTAATCCATTTAGAGGGGTTAGCTTAACCCTTCTATATTTTTTATGTTTGACAAATTATAAATGGTTAACTCACTTTAATCATTGTATAGATTTTTTTTGTTTGGCGGGTTAAGAAGGGAGACTTAACCCCCCATTACCCCTTTACCAAAGGGTACCTAAAGAAAGGAGACAATTAGACTACATCTGTATATAACAAATCCCATAACGAATATGTTTATTTAATGAGTGAAGTATCTAGATTTATATCCAACCAATTTAATAATCAAATTATACAGACCAATAGCCTAAATTATCAAATTAGTATTCTTTTTAACATTCCTTTACTAGTTTGACACTTTTTATTTTTTCAATGACTTTTTGGTATTAGAACTCCACAAAATCTACAGTTAGGTATTAATTTTTTGTCACCGATGAAAAAAAATTCCTCGATGACCCAAAATATGAGACCAATAGGAGGGATAAGTGATGTGTCCCCCTCTTATTGGATAACGAGTTAGCCATCATTAATGATGGCCAACTCATTATCCAATAGGAGGGGAACACCTCACTTGTCCCCCTTATTGGTCTCATATTTTGGATCCCGGTAGCAAAGCTCCCGATGAAAACCTCGCTAAAAAATGGGGAAATTTGATATTAATAGTCTCTCTCTCTCTACCTCTCTCTCTACACCTCTCTCTCTCATTTGTGCCATGTCATCTAAACCCTATCATGTCATTTAAACACATCACATTAGCCACGTCATCTAAATCCGAACATATCATTTAAACACATCCACATTAAGCATTCTAATATCTCTCAAATTTAGTCACATGAGGTCACACGTACTTTACTCGCCAAATTTTCATTATCGGGGATGAAAAAAATATCTAATTGCACATTTTTTGAATTTTAATACCAAAAGTTGTCAAAACAACAAAAAATATATATACCAAACTAGTAAGGAGGTGTTACAAAAAAAGTACCAAATTGGTAATTTAGCACATACGAATTTATATAGATTAAAAAATTAAGAAAACAAATATTTTAATAATAATTTAGTGAAGAAAAGGGAATTCACAACACTTAAAAGATAATTCCAACTTCTTTAACACTGACTGATGGAAACAAATATTCTTATGATTACGTAAAGTCTTTATTCTTGTTCTTCTTCTTTTCTTTTACATTTATATACAAGTCTTTATTCTATTCATTTGTTACTGATACGAGTCAATTTATTCATTAAAATGTTATTTTTTTAATAAGCCAGAGTAGTTTAACTAGATCAAGTCTCCTTATCCACATCCAATTTATTAATTAAAATGTTATTTTTTGGTTTTTTATATAGTAGTCCCTCAGATCTTCAACAATTCCACATTAGTACCCCAAATCTTTCAAATTGCTCACGGTTCCCCCAAATCCTACACATTCTCGCAAATATGCGCTTTTATGATCAAAATGCTCCTCAGGTTATGCTTCCTAAAACTGCCATGCGTTCTCAAAGACATAAGATCGAGGGCATTTTGGTAACTGAGAGACCAAATTATAAGAGACCTTAGGATTTGAGGAACTGTTGAGCAACTTACAAGATTTCACGGAGTGGTGTGTAATTATTAAAGATGTGAGGGATCAATATCTAAAAACTCTCACATATTTTGCATACCTCATCAGACGACGACGAACTCTGTTCTCCTCCTCTCCCTCTTTGAGAAGAAGCACTCCTCTCCTTCTGAGCGACCAGCAACTTGCTGAGCCTCACCTGCTTCTTCGACGCAAACTCCCTCAAAACCTCTACAACAGCAACAATAAGGACCAAAACGAAAAGCAAAATGCCAACCAGGGTCGCTGAAGCTAAATTTCCAAAACCAAACCTTCGAAGCTAACGAGTCGATAAACATGTCCAATGTGCAGCGTGTCATCGGGGCGGAGCAGCTTAAGATGCTTCACCGGTGCGCGACCGCTGCTCCTCCTCGCGCTCGGCGCCTCCCTCGGGCGGTGTGGGTGATTATAACGGCACGTAGTGGCCGGTGGGCTTTCGAGGCCATGACGTGCTGGCGCTTAAGACCAGTAGGCCTCTCGACGCGGCCGTTTCGGTGCTCGTCAGACAGTTGCTGCCTCCGCGACTTCGCAATGCCATGAGTTCGGATATTGAGTAGTAAGAGTTCTTAGAGGGGGAGGGGTTGGCGTATTTTTCCGGGTTTGGTTAATTTTGAGAATGAGAGGTCGAAGGATGGTGGGGTGCTTGTATTTGGAGTGGGTTCCACTGGCGTGGGTTTTATTTATTGGCTGTGCGGGTGGCTTTCGTGACAGGAAAAGTGCGGCTATTTTGGGACGAGAACCGGCTGTGTTGGCGTTTGAGCTGGTAATATGAATGCACGTATGTTGTTGCATTTTACTATTGATTTTGAGTAGATATTGGGATGCAATATGTTTATCATACTGTAAAATAATTAATAATTTGATTCTAGTAAAGGCTGGTACCGAGCCACTGAACTTCTAGCTCATTGCAAAAAGACCGGATTTGACTTTGGGAGATACTTAAAGCCAAATAATTGGAATTACACTTTGTAAAAGTATCACGGTTGAAGAGAAATAATAAATATCATTACAACTGTGATTATCTTTTCATAATATATTACAAGTGTATTTTTCGTAGCCCAAATATTTTGTAAGTAGATCAAATATAGCTAGGTTAATTAGGTAAATTGTTAAGCTACTTCTCAAATCACCTACATGATTTGTCATGCAAAATTTAATTTACAACTTGTATATATGTATTTGGATGTTATTCTCTAATCACCAATGCTCCGAGTTGATGGTACTAGTTACCATCATTCTCATGTATAATGCATGGAAAATGATAGGGGCACACCCCCAACCACAACCTCAACCACACCCCCTCTCTCATTTGCTACAGTGCACCGGGCCCCAATGGGATTTTAAATTTTTAAAATCCCATATGGGATCCGGTGCACTGTAGCAAATGAGAGAGGGGGTGTGGTTGAGGTCGTGGTTGGGGGTGTGCCCCTAGTGTCACCCACTATTAGTTTGTCAATCCTTTATCATTGAAGCCTATATATGAGGATTTCTTGCTTGTGTTGCCAAAACCTAAAAAGGGGAATTAATTGAGTGGGATATTGGTTGAGGGTCCTTCACACGTCCACCTCATTCCTTTCGATCATGACTCAAATTGAAATCTTAACCAATCTCCCTTAATATCGGATTAATATTCCAGTTAGAGTACGAGCAACATGTTTGAAGAATTAGACAGAGATTCTAATACGGACAGCACAAAAAGAAATTGCATGCTTTATAATTGACAAAGTAACTAAATTAGCAACGTCCTTTTGTTCTTACCTAATACCCTGCTCTCTTGTGACAAAAGCTAAATCAAAAAAATCTGTCGATGGGGAAATGTGAGTACATTTGAAGGGATTAAAGCAACTGCAGAGCTGAAAAAAGTGAGCGAAAATGATCTTTCTGGATGTGTCAGTTGATTAAATGTGTATGTGCATTTGTTTGTCGCTTTATTTGCTAGGAATAAATGAAAATTTATGTGCCCTTTGTTGATAATAGTGTTGATAATAGTGTTAGTAGTGAGTTTTTAGTCTCACATTGGTTGTGAGAACACACCTCACCCTCCTCTACTTGTATAAATATATGTGCACACTCAATATTCAGCTTAAGGAAAATTTATCCAAGACTCTCTCTCTCTCTCTTACTTTAACATGGTATCAGAGCTAGGGTTATTATTTCCCTTCCAATAAATTTTTTAACGCTTCTGTGTTGTTTTGCCAAATCTTGGCATTGCTGCTTTTAGCCGTTTAAATGCCTTTTTTTGCATTCCTTTACTAGATTTTTGGTCTTGCCGTTTTGCGGCCTCTTAACGTGTTTTGCGTTCTCATATTCAAGATTGTTTCTTGATCTCAAATTTACGGCATCACCGTTTCAAGACCATCTATTAGTCTCAAATTTACGGCATCTCCGTTTCAAGACCGTCTCTCGGTCTCAAATTAACAGCATCGTCATTTCAAGCCATCTCTCGAACTCAAACAAATAACATTGTCATTTCACAATCAGTTACGACATCGCTGTTTCAATCCATCTTGACGTCTCAACGTCTCAATATCGATATTAATTCGTTGTAGGTCTCCGGCGTGAGCATCAGATCTGGCCGATCTTTGGGCCACCTTGGTCGTTGGTTGCTTCTTTTTTCTCAGATTTGACAGTCATTTTAACCTTCGAGTTTCTACATTAACCTTTGGGTTCTCCTTTAAACATTCGGATTTCATTCAAGTATTATTATCTTGAACTTTAAATTGCTGCTATTATGGCCACTTCACTGAAACATGCTTCTCAGGCCCAGTCTAAGCTCTTTTGCACCTATTGCAAGAAGGAGGGACACCACTTTGAGACATGTTTCCAGCTTCATCCTAAGTTATGTTCCATAGGAACTGGCTGTAGTTAGCGATCCCCTCAGTACCGATCCTCTAGTGCTCCAGGATTACTGATTAATGTTATGACATCTACCACTTTAGGCCCTATCATTCAAGCTATTGCAGATATTAGCCATCAAATTGCGGCTCTTCAGCATACCATCTCTCCATCTGCTACAAAACTCTCTGATATTCACCGTTAAATTGAGGCTCTTCAAGCTATTGTAAACATTCACCGTCAAATTGCGGCTCTTCAACATACCACCTCTCCATCTGCTGCACAACTCTCTAATATTCACCATCAAATTGATGCTCTTCAGCATAGAGCAACTACATCTACTGCACAACTCTCCGATATGCGTCTTGCTAGTTCTTTAGCCAACCCTTCGGTCTCTGGTATGAATGATCTCTGGTTTTTTAACTCTAGCTATTCTTTTCATATGACTCGTAATGCCTCCCTCTTATCTTCTGTCTTTACTTCCTCTTCTCTTTTCCCTATCTACACGGTTGCTGGACAACCTTTGTCTATCACTCAGTATGCCTCTATCACCCTACAAACTGACCAATCTGGTTGTCTAACTCTTGGCTCCGTCTTGTGGCTCCTCAGTTGTGTTTGAATTTAATTTTTGTTAGCTCATTATGTATGGATGACCTACTTGTCTTATTTTTTTCTGATACTTGTATTGTGCAGGATCTACAGACGGACAAGACTGTTGGGGCCGGTCAGAGGAGACATAAACTATATTTTTTAGAATATCTTTACCTTCCAGAGTCCATATGTCCATGTTCTCGTATTGCTTCTGTAAGTCCAAAATCATCTACCTTGCTTTCCGCAGATTTGTGGCATAGACGACTTGGTCATGTGTCTCATAAAAGGCTAAAAAGTCTTATCCAGCCCGGAGTACTTGGTCCTGTATCTTCTCGTTCTCATATTGAGTTATGTACTGGTTATAAATTGACTAAATTCACTACTCTTTCGTTTCTAACCAGTACATCTGTTTCTACTTTCTTATTTGATTTGGTCCATTTTGATATCTGGGGGCCAGTTCCTCTGCCTTCTTCATCTGGTTACTTATATTATGTTAGTTTTATTAATGATTTCTCTCATTATACATGGGTCTACCTACTTAAAAATCACTCTGACGTACTTGCTGCTTATCAAGCCTTCACTATGATGATCTTCACTCAATGCAAGCTCGTATTAAAGTTTTTCATTCTGACCATGCCAAAGAGTACATATCTTCTACCATGCACCCTATTATATCCTCTCATGGGACTATCTTTCAACAGTCATGTCCTTACACTCATGAACAAAGTTATATTACTGAACGCAAACATCGTTATATTCTCGATACCGCTCGATCCATGCTTATTTCTTACTCTACTCCTCGTCGTTTCTGGGCTGAGACCATTCTCACTGCTACTCATGTCATTAATATCACTCCGTCTAGCTCTCTTTCTGGTATTACTCCTTATAGTCATGTTTATATCATCCTCCTCGTTATGATCTGGTTCGTATTTTTGGTTGTCACTATTTCGTTCTTCTGTCATCTCATGAACGTGATAAATTGTCTCCCAGAGCTATTCTCTGTATTTATTTAGGAATTAGTTCAGAACATTGAGGTTATCGTTGTTATGAGCCTGGATCTCGTCGAGTTCATATATCTCGAAACGTTCAGTTCGAAGAGGATTCTCCATTTTATTCTGCTTTCGATGATTTCAATTTCTTTCACACTACTGATTGTGCTTCTTCACCAGCTGCATCACCCACTTTCTTACCTCAGTTCTCCTTTCAAGATCTCTTTGAAATCTCTCCATGTCCTTCTGTTGACTCTCCCTCACCCGAGCCTTCTCTTCCACCATCTGATCCCTATCCTGTAGTAAGGACACCCACTCCAGAAAATATCGTTGACCTCCATGCACCTGCGCCAGCATCTCCCCCGTGTGAGGTTCCTCTTGCTCTACGTCAAGTTAAATACCCACATGTTATGCCTGCACGGTATGCTTTGGTTATTTCTATTCATCTATCTTTCATAATTTTTTTGCCGTCATTCATACTATAGTTAAGCAAAGTCTTTTCAAGATGCCGTTCAATTTTTAGAGTGGCGACAGGCTATGGCTGAGAGAATTTCAGGCCTTTCAGCAAACACATACATGGGATGTTGTTCCCTGTCCACCTGGTATCTCTTTAGTTGGTAGTAAATGAGTTTATAAGGTCAAGTATCGTCCTGATGGCACCATTGAATGTCGGAAAGCTCGTTTAGTGGCTCAAGGTTTTACTCAGCAATAAGGTATTGATTATGAGGAGACCTTTGCTCATGTTTCTCAGATGCCCACCGTTTGTACTCTTCTTGCGGTCGCTGTTGCTCATCGTTGGCCCTTATACCAGATGAATATCAAAAATGCTTTTCTTCATGGCTCTTTACCTGAGACAGTATATATGCAACTCCTCCAGGGTCCAATATTCCTCCAGGACATGTATGCCTCATTCGTAGTGTTGTTTATAGTCTCAAACAAGCACCCCACGTTTGGTTTGAGTGTTTTTGTGATATTGTGCTCAAGGCGGGTTTTATGGAAAGTCATCAAGATGCTTCTTCGTTTGTTCGTACTACATCGCATTGTAGAGTTTTATTACTCATCTATGTAGATGATATGATCATTACAGGTGATGATGTGGCTGATATACAGTACATAAAATCTCAGTTGCAATAATAGTTTCACATGAAGGATATTAGATCTCTTCGGTATTTTTTTAGTTTAGAAATTTCTCAAGGCCTGCGGGGTGTACTATTATCTTAACAGAAGTATCTCCCGGATATTCTAAATCGAGCTAAGCTAACTGATGATACGACTATTGATACTCCACTCGAACAGAATGTCAAACTTCGCTCTACTGATGGTGAGCCTCTATCTGATCCTACCTGATATCGACATCTTGTTGGCTAGTTGGTCTATTTGTGCATCTCTCGATCAGATATTTCTTATGTTGTTGGTATTGTTAGTCAATTTATTAGTGCCCCACGTTCTGTACACTATGCTGCCTTATTACGGATTCTTCGGTATCTCCGGGGTACTAGCACTTGCTCTCTTTTGTTTCCTGCTATATCCAAGTTAGAGCTTTGTATATATTCTGATGCTGATTGGGCTGGTGATCCCACTACCAGAAAGTCTATCACAAGTTATTGTATATTTCTTGGTGATTCCCTAATTTCCTGACGGAGTAAGAAACAAGATGTTGTTGCTCTTTTCAGCACTGAAGCAGAGTATCATGCAATGTCCACAACAGCTAAAGAGATTATTCATCTTCGTCGTTTCCTCAGTGATTTTGGTATTTTTTGTTTCGACTCCTATTCCTCTATACTGTGATAATAAGAGTGCCATCCAGATTACTAATAATCCAGTATTTCATGAGAGGATCAAATACATTGAGATCAACGCTCATTTTTTCCGTTAACAAGTTATCAAGGATAAGGCAGTTCTACTTCCTCATGTGTCATCCGCCAACGAGTTTGTAGATTTCTTCACAAAGGCCTTACCTATTCATCGGTTTTAGTTTTTTGTATGCAAACTCACTTTGTTTGATCCAATATGAGTGTGAGGGGGGCTGTTGATAATAGTGTTGATAATTGTGTTAGTAGTGAGTTTTAGTCCCGCATTGGTTGTGAGAACACACCTCACCCTCCTCTACTTGTATAAATATATGTGCGCACTCAATATTCAACTTAAAGAAAATTTACCCAAGACTCTCTCTCTCTCTTACTTTAACACCCTTCAACTAAAGAGTTTCGAATTTTTTCCGTACATAATTTTTTTTTCAAGTTTTGATGTAATGATCATAATGATGCATGTATACGTGACTCATCTGATATAGTTTGATTTAGTAACATGCATTCGAACTATATGCATTAATCCGATTTTAATCCATGAAAACATTCTCATGCATCATATAGTTTATTTTGAATTAATCAATAAACGGCTATATATAAGAATAGATGTGATTGATAAATAAAAGGTTGTGATTTATAAATCATATATATGCTGATGTGAATATTCTTGATTACAAATTATATTAGCAAAAAAAGAAAGACCAAAATATATAAATTTAAATTGAAAGACCAACATATATAAATTTAAATTGCCGTCACAAATCACAATGACGGTATATTCTTTGTGACTCAGTGCCTAACTATCTCGGCATTGAGGGATTGATCATTGATGATTGCCAAGACATCAAAAACACATGCAAAAGAATAATATACGTCCCTCTTTGGCAATCAGTGGGCCTAATTTGGTGTTATATTTTAGCATACCCAATCGGGATAAGATTACCAGTCAACAACAAATTTGACGCATCTCACGTTTAATTTTGTTAATTAGTTCCTACGTAGTCTCCAACCTCTCTATGATTGCCACTTCAATTAGGACTGGTCACCAACTTAAGAGCCAACACATTCTCATTTCAACGTATTTCCTATTTGATGAGTTTTTTAAAGAAAGGTATGTATCTGTTATTTTTTTTTGGAGAAAATATGTATTTGCAATTTATTTATAACAAAGAAAATTAATATTTACTAGGATTTATTTGATGAGTATTACATGAGAAATTAAATATGTCCTGCTTTTCTGAAGAAAATGGCTTTCCACGGGTCTAGCGATTCACCAGCAACATCATGAAGAATTGGTAAAAGTAGTTCAGGGGAATTGTATAAATTAATATGTTTAAATAAAATATATTTTTTTAGCCTATGTTTTAAGTTGCACTTGAAGACTCAATCAAAAAAATGTTTACGTGATAACAAGTGTGTTTTGCTTTTCATATATACTAATCAAATATGAATATTTGATGAAAATAAAATTCCTTAACAATTTTTATCTTAATACTTGATAAAACGACCCAAAGTTAAGAAATAGGGTTAACTGTCTTTAAACTTGATAAGACGACACCTACATCCTCAGAAATAGGAGTTATGAACAATAACTCCTAAAACACGGAGGCCTCGTTTGGCAAAGGGTTAAGGAAGATGGGTTAAAAAGAATGACTAATATACTTAGGCCATTCGATAATCTGAAGGACTAAATTATTAAACCGTTAAATAAGTTTTATTTTAGCTCTTGTGATTAGTTTTAGTGTTTGGGAATAACAATAATTTTGACTATTTTCTTTATAAGTAGAAGGGTTAACTCTTAATCATTGGAAATAGAAGTATTAGTAAACCCTTCATTTTGAGAGAGGTTAGCTTAACCCTTCTATATTTTTTATGTTTGGCAAATTATGGAGGGTTATAACTCACTTTAACCCTTATATAGATTTTTTATGTTTGGCGGGTTAAGAAGGGACTAAGTCTCTTTAACCCCTCACTTAACCGTTTGTCAAACGGTACCGGAGGGTTTAGTGAATGAAAGAAAGTTGAGGGGAGTAGTTTAGTGCAACCCTCAACATCCAGGGGTTCTTTTTCATAATTAGCAGTATAGCCCTTAAGAAATATGTATACTCTTATTGGCAATTTTCCATAATTCATAAACTAATTCATGGACACTCTTGCAAGAGCATATACTGTAGATTAGAGGTATGATTAATTAGAAATAAATCTTCAGGTTTTCTGGATAAATATTGAAGCGGCAATTCATCAAAAACTCTAGCGCTTGTCTTTATCCTCCTCACTTTCCTAATATAAGTTCTAAAGTTATGCAGGTGAAATAATTTAATTCTTACTACCAGTTTAATATGATAGAACCAAAACTCATGATAATTATTGAGATAATGAAAGAAGACTGCACGATCAATATATATGCTTTTGCTTTGAAAAATAAGAGGAAAACATTGTACATCAAGCTAGATGCACAGTTTAAAACAAATTTTTTTGAAAAATAACTCCTAAGCAAAATAATAATAATATTTAGCAAATTTCACTATAGCGTTATTAGAAATTATCTTCTTGGAATGGACTCCGTTTTCTTTTAGTTTATATTAAAAGGAATTTGAAGTGAAAGAATATATGAAACTAATAATGGAAGTTATTTTTAAAACTATTTGTGCACTATTTAAGCTGTTTATTATTACGGCACTCTCCACTTGTTTTTTTGTTTTGTTTCTGATTTGGTTTTTTTAGAGATTCATGCAGAAAGTTATCACCTTTCTTTCTCTCTATTGCAAATTGTCTTTCTCATAATTTCAAAGTAAGTCAATAAGAAAATGAAATTGATTAAAGATAACTGGGGAATTCTATGATACTTAGTCTGATAAACTAAGTTTGCCATCTTTTACCAACAATAGATGTTAAAACTTGTTTATTGCTTAATTACAAAAATGAGCCTGAAGTAGAAGAGTGATAGAGAATCACTATTTTCTGTCTCTTCTTTAGTTCATCCTCAGATTGTTAGACAGCGTTTGGTTCTCGATGGAACTGAGACCAAGACTTAAGTTGGGACTAGAATTAGGTGAGACTGGGATTATACTAGCATTATAATTCTCAGTCTCATGTTTGATACCACGGTTAAAATCCTTTTATCTACAGAAAGGGGCAAAAAATAAAATAAAAAAGAAAAAGAAA